TTCCTTCCTCCCCTCTCCCCCCCGGCCTTTTCCTATTTCTCCACATAGATTTCGCAGATTTTGTTTCGACTACTCTCTTTGGAAACGAGACCTGGCTCTCCTCCTTTTCCTTTCACCCCTCCTTTCTTCTCGACGGCAGTAGCAGTACAGCACCCACAGCCCGGGGCGGCCCCAAGTGGCGCCTTGCACCTAGGAACGAACACGCAGGCAGCGGCGTTGGGGCAAGGGGCCTGCCTGGAGCTCACGGAGGAGGAGAGGGGACGGACGGACCCCAGGGCAGCACCCTCTGAAGTTTCTGCCCGTCTTTTCTAGTAACAGCTTCCCCCTCCCTCCCCGGGGCCTGCACCGGATGAAGGGAGCAGCAGAAGCTCCATCTTTCACCCGTTGTCCACCCTGGCTGCCTGGCACAAGCGCCGCGAAGTGCACCGCGGGGCAAGGAAAGGGGGCAGGGAGAGGTGCGTGGCCTCCCGGGGCTGCGGGGCTCAGCCTCCTCCCTTGGGGACACGAGACCACGTTCATAACCCCAAGGTGGGGGGCACGGCCGGCTCCCAGCGGCCCTAGGCTTCACCCAGGTGAGCCGGGCAGCTCGAAAACCAGTAACCGACTAAGGAGCACCTTTACAGAAAAAATGCACACGGGCAGAGCTGGTAACAAGGCAGCTAGAGAGGGCTGTCACAGCACGGCTCACCTGCCTGCAGACACCTCCTTTCCTCCTCTGGAATAAGCATCGACAGCAGCGTTACGGTGAAGGTGTTTTGTTCCATCAAGAGGGCAAAGTTTTAAACACGAAACATGACATGCTTATGAAAGCTGGACTCTGCAAAACTCTTCCTCCTTCTTCTCCCACTCATAAAATTTGCTGAAGTATTTTATTCTTTGTCTTCTCTTAAATCCCATAGCAGTGCACGCTTCCAATACCACTCTGTTCCAGGCAGAAAATTCCACATCAGCATAGCATTTCCCCGTGCCGCCACTTCAGCAGGTTAATTGAACTTTCCTCCTCCCCTGTTCCCACTTGGTGGTGGAAAGCAGCTCCATCAGTACGCGGACTGGCCCGCTGGAAAAGCCTCCCAGGCTTGCCAAGGTCTGGCCTGTGCGACATCTGCGCCAAGGACCCAGAGCCGCAGCAGAGCTGGCACAGGCTCCAAGTTTCCTTCGGAATGGAAATCTCAAAACCCATTGTGCTTTACAACTCTACAGTAATGTCTCAGTTACAGTCTACCTCCCAAATCAGGAGTCCGAATGCCAGAAGTGCTAGTTTCGGTCATATTTGCTTTTTCCACACTATTTCAGTAGTGCGTGTTGTTATAGGCAGCGTACTGCTGTCGCGTTGCTGCGTCAAAAGCACAGCTTGCATGAAGTTGCTACTGATGAGCTAGTAAAATGCAAAACTATAACCCCGCCACGTTCCAAAGTTAACGCTGAAATAAAAAAAATTCTCTAACAAAAAAGTGTTTTGTCTTCAAGTATTGTGGGAACATTTGAATTTTTGGGGTTATGGCTCCCCCTTTTTTTTCCAGCTCCCTCCTCCCTGAAAGCCTGTAAAACTGGAAGCGTGGCCGTGAGCCTAGAGGCTGGTGCCCTCTACCCGCGCGAGGGCTCACCCAGGACAGGGCCTGGAGTACAGCCCTCTCCGAGCCCACGTTTGCTTCCCTGCAAGGTAGAGGAACAGTAGGTAAAGAACGAGGTTGCCAGGGGCACATTTCTAAGGGAAATTACCCAAATGCACGTGGCATAACTCTTGCTATGGACCGGAGAAATACGCAGCAGAAAACAACTGCTCTGGTCACTGCGCAGTCACAAGCCCCAGGCTCCGCAGCACGCCTGCTAACGTGCCCGAGAGGAGAGGGCACACCTCCACGCCCGACCGCAAGCAGTGATCTCAGACTGCGATCCCTGTCCGACCGAGTTTCCCATTACAATTTGCCCCCTACGGTCTCCAGGGCTCTTTAGGAGGTGGAAGCGGGAAGCGCGGAGGGGACGCTGGAAGTGAATCACTGTCCCAGCTGAACGCGCCCTTTTACAGGGCGCTAGAGCAGAAACAAATCAAAGGCAAGCCCCGGCACGACAGCGAGCCTAGCACATCAGCACGTGAAGAGAATATGGTTTTCAGCAGAAGGAGAGATGATGCTATGGGACAGGGTTAGTGATAGCAGCTGGCTCTGAGTGATGGCCTAGAACTGGATAGGTCAGTGACGGGACCTACCAGTTACGAATCTCTCCACTTTTTGGGGCATAAGATATTTCTTTGGTTTAATCTAAAGAAACCTTCCAAATGGTCTTTCCAAGCTGTTACAAATCTAGGACAGTGAAACACAAAAGGACTGAAGTCTGTTACAATATACCCAAAAAACAGCATCTGTATTAAAGAACATGCAAGGGATCCTTCAAAGCCAGGGCAACGCAGGATACTCTAGAGCTGCCTGGACTCATTTCCAAAGTCATCTCTGGGTCTGAGAAAGCTTTCAAGTCCTTTGAAACTGCAGAGCTGGCACCCCCAAGTGGTCACTCTCAGCCACTTCGTGCAGCTTGAACACCCTTATCCAGTCAACAGTTCCCCCGCTGACACCCGAAGTTGCATCACACTCCCAGCAGGCAGGGATCTGAGCTCCCTGAACATCCGCTGCTGTCGGAGCGGACATGGCAGAGTACAGCTCTCTGCTACAGCCAAGGTGTCAGCTCCAAGCACCACTGCAAATGGGCTAACGCTCATTCGGATACAAAGACACCTTCAAAGTGATCTCCTCGGATTTCGTTCTGCAGGACGGAGAAGTCACCACGGGACCTTCCCCTCACAGAGGGGAATCACGAGCCACAAAAAACTTTCCCACGGTCAGCAATACTTATGTACAGAGGGCTAATTCCGCCATTTGATGGTGGCAAAGGAAAAACTACCTGTGCACTTCACAGTCCTGCACTGCGCTTGCACACAGCCTGCCGGCTTCCGGGCTCGCAGGCCTGGTCCCTGCACACACAGCATATCCTTCAGGTACGGCTGCCTCCTCTTGCTTTTAAATTATGCATGGGAAAACAGGAGAAGCAATACAGAACAAGCTCATAGTTATCTGCCAAGTTGCACAGCCATTAACAGCCACAGAGCAAGTCGTACCACTCCCGAGCGGCAAACGAGAACGAACGTTGAACCCACTTTGCTTATCCCAGTAGGGAGCGGATGTATAAACGATGCGCTTAAACGTCAACATCTCCTGTGAGTAACCCACAGGGATTTCAGCCTGCCACACTTCATGGCACCGAGCAGCAAGCTGTATGAGCCTCCGCAGACAAAAGGCTCATTCAGAGCTTCAGTGCTGCATCTGTGGCAGTGTTTAAATGAAGGAGGGAGTGAGTCAGATTCGGAAGT